CTTTTCCCCTAGATCACTAATTCCTTCTATCTTTTCTTGAAATTCAGGCGAAGAAGCTTGTTCTGGAGGATTGAAGTTCGTGGGTTGAACTCCGGCAGAAATCTTCTTCTTCTTCCTATTCTTGGCCATTTTGAGCCAATCTTCAGGTGAGGGAAGTTAGATTATAGATTGATTTGGTTTCATGTGAGTTTAGGAACTCAAATTGATGTATGAATTATGAGAATTCATGGTTTGATTGAAGAACTTCTCATTTTCGGGGTTTCGGGGAAAATTGGGAATTTGGTGATTTTAATGCATTGAGTGGTTGCATGTTGAATCTGAGGTTGTTTTTTAGTTGTATGAGGTTTATGCATTTCGTTTCATGGATTGCATGTGGTTAAAGTTGCTAATTTCCAGGTTTTGAAGGAATTTTTGAAGTTTGTGGAAGTTGTTGTTTGCATTTGCGCCGGGCGCAGTTTATGGCATCGGGCATGCATTCATCAGGGTCCACCATTGTCCATTCACGCCGATTACAAGTGACCAATTCGAGTAAAGTAGGAAGTTGAGAACTTAGTTCCTAACTGAGTATTGGAGGGTTGTAGTATTTGGAGGATAGTTAGTAAGCTAATTTCATAAGGGGCTTAGTTGAGCTAGCTAATTTCGTGGTAAGCCTAAACCCAGCCGTTCTATCCTGAAATAATACTATACTTCCTTTTTTAAGTGACAAAGTCTGAGAAATCATTATCATGTTGTGGATTGATATCTAAATTTTTTGTTTACCTAGCAAGCCCAAAAAAGTTTTGTGTTGTCAGTTCGGTAGGACTTAGCCACTTAGACTCTTCACCTATGTTGTAGGAAATCTCTGAGTTTTAATGCGTGACGACGCATAAGTTATTGATGAGTTGAATTGGTGTTGTGTATATGTTGTTGTGTTGTGAAGCTGTGATTGAGTTGTGTGTTGTCATGTGTTGTATATTGACTCTGTTGAGAATGATGATAGTGTTGTTATGTTGAAAGTTGCTTATTTAAATATATTTTGATTCTTTTCACTAGCTTACCCTTGCATGTTTCCATGTGGTTTGGACTGCTATGATTATACGTTGTATGGGAGCAGAGTAGGGATAAACTGGTGTTAGCTGATGGAGGTCTTTTGGTGATGACAACTGGAGAGTTATATTTTGATGACTACCCTTAGTGGTAGAGGTTATTTTGTAGACTGTGTATATAGTTTATGGCCTGTTGAGCCACTACTGTTAAACGGTTGATAGTACTATCTTGTGTGTGTGTGTATATATATATATATTAGTTGTTTTAGTGGTTGTTCTGTAGGGTAACGGCCAAGGCGGGTCGTTACATCTATTTTAAGTTATAGTGTCTAAAAATGATTGAAAAAGATAAGTATAAAAATTAAAATATTTATTTTAAAATATAAGGACTAAAATATAAAGTAAGTAAAATTATAGGAAGTAAAAATTATTTTAACCTTTTAAGGTTATAAAATGGAGATAGAACTTTGTTTTAGTATGCATTGTCTTATATTCAAATATTGTTGTCATAATTGTAATATTTATTGTTGATAAGAAGCTAGAAATAATATACTAAAATTTTGTTTTAGTGACATTGTCTTATTATAAAGTGACAAAGATGAGAGCAAAAGAGAAAGAGGAGGGGAAGAGTGGGGAGAAAGAGAGAAGATAGAAAGTCCATAAAGAATATTGAGGAAGGAGGAAGAAAAAAAAAATAAAAATAAAAACAGTCACAAAACCTTAAAGATTTGATAAGATTGTTGGATTAGTGTATTATTATCATTCTTATTTATAAGACTTAAATACTAAATTCACAAAGATTAAAGAAGGTAATTAATCTTGTGGATTAATACTTATCTCTCTCTTAACCAATTAAAATATATTTTTTATACTACTTCTGTCATAATTAATACTATTTGTTCTCTTAATTAATTAGAATGTATGCATTTTAAAAACTCTAATGTATTTTATCAAATTACAAGAACATATTTTAATTAGAGATATTTTAATCTAAAAATAATTAATACATCAAATATGAATTAAATTTTATATAAAGAAATAAATAATTATTTTAAGTTAGATATTATAAATAAGAATACATATATTAAAATTTGCATGTTTTTTAATACAATAAATCGTATATTTTAAATAAAAAAGTTTCAATTAAGTATAACTAGATTTTGACATACTTTTTTAAAAAAAATTCAGTTGTATTAATTGAATATTACATAACTTTTTATTGTAAAAATAATTATTGATTAAATATGAAAAGAAAAAAAAACTTTTAAAACCTTTATTCAATACTCTTCTTAATCTATTTTTTATAAGAAATAAATGTTATACTATTATTTGTTTCTTCCGAAAAAATCGTATTATATATAACTTATTATCTTCTTTTACAAGTATTCCAAATTTTATAATGATTTTCTATGTTCCCTTGCGTTGGTAATAGAGTTCCGTCATGGAGTGAATGAACGAAACGAAATAGAAACCAAAATGAAGTAAATGTGAAGAAGTGAACAAATTTGTCAATAATTCACTACTTTACATTATTGCTTGACAGTGAATCTCCAACCTTGATTTCAATTTTCAGAGATTGGATTCCATTCATCCAAAAAGACAGTTGCAGCATAATTCTTAACCTAAATTCTGCAACTTATTCAAAAGTCAAAAGACAAAAACTGAATATCACCTTTCAAACCAAATTAGAAGACAATCAAATTAAATGACTAACGTGTCTTAAAAAAAGAAAATTATACAACATTATTTTTTATCTATTTTTATCCATCATTTCATTTATTATTGAGAGGTATTATTAAAGATAAAAAAAAATAGACATAGAAATGATAATATACAAGTTGTTATACAATTTTTAATTATATGTGTAGTATTACTCTATTTTCTTAAGAATTTTCTTATTATTTGAAAAAGTAAAAAATGTAAATATATTTAATATGTTGGAAACTTAAAAACATTTGATATTTGTATCTAAAAACTTAATGGTTTAATTTCAGTTAAAAAAAACTAAATGGTTTAATTAATCTTTTGGCATGTATGCATGCATTAACTTTTTTTTTCTTACTTAAATTAAAAAAAAAAAAAAAACATACATTTTTTTTTCAATATCACATATTTTGTTGAAGGCAATCTTTTACTGCTTAAGCTAAAAACACTCCCGACAGTTGAATCACCTGAAAAAAAAATACATTTTAATTCTTGTGCAAAGAATTTTTTATGTTTATATTTTGTAAGTTTTGCATAGTTAGAAAACTAGCTAATATCAAATACTAAAATATAATGAAAAGAGTTGGTATAAAAACTAAAACATATAACTTTTTAGTATAAAATGAAAATTCGGTAGAAATATAAGGTTTAAAATATTAATTAAACCTAAATAGATTATTAGAAAGTTTTAGAAATATTCAGTAAAAAGATAAACTCAACCTGCAATCACATAAGACCATTTCAAAAAAATTTATACAAGAGTTCAAGTCGGGATTAATTTGTGTAGAAAAGTACTTATATTTTATATCATGTTGCAATTTTTTAAAATGAAATTTCTTTAAAAATAACTGAAATAAACATTAAAAATAGATATATTTAATATCTTAAAACATTAAAAAAAATTAATAACATTGGAATTAACAGGATAATGTTATTGGAATATTTGAGATTCTTATAAATCTGGAATATTTGTTATAAGAAAAAATTATACAAGATAATTGAGAATCTCTTTCTTTTTTAAGCTAAAATCAATTTATACAGTTAACTTTTATAGAAATTCTTTCATTTATCTTCAAAAACTGAAGTACATAAAAACTCTAATTTTAATTATATAACAATATAACCATGTTTTGTACAACAATTACAAAGTCAAATTTTTAAACAATTTGGGCAAAAGTTTTATTTTTGACTTCAATATCTTTCTTTATAACTTATCTCAATTTTAAATTTGGTCCCTGTGTTGTATAAGTTTGAGGTTTAGTTCTTATTAATTCTATTCCATTTAGTCAGCAGCAACAATATGCTACCGCACATATTATTTAAGAGATAACCATCAAACCTAGTGTCTCATAAATTATAGGGATCAAAGCTTAAAGTAGATAAGGCTATAGGAATCAATAACTAAATAGAATAAAACTAAAGAGACCAAATCCTAAAAGAATGAAACTACTATATATATATATATATATATTAAAAAGTGAATAATAAACAAAATCAAAATTGAAGCAAACTAAAGAAAAATGTATATAACTTTTTGTCTAATAATGTTTATCAATTACTTCAACAAATATGTTCATCAAACATTTATAATTCCATAAATTAGCTTAACAACTTTATCCTATTGACTATTTTATTTTTTTCAATTTCGACTAGTTTTTCTGCTTTTAACTAGCTTATCAAACAAACTCCCTATCTAGAAAAGCTATTCTTTATGTTCAAACGATATCCTCTCGGTGTTCCCTCAAATATTATACTGTTTATTGAATTGCTTTCCTCACCATCCCCAAATATGACACTAACACAGAAAGAACCAAAAAAAAATTGGCCTAGATGACAGGTTGTATTATTCTCACACAACTTCAGGGGCACTGTTTGTACCCTTAGATGCGTTGACTCACCTAAACTTCAATTGAACCATTCAGATTTCTGCCTACCTCCAAAACTCATTTTTCCCATATGGCTGTCATGTGATCCACCATTCATGTTAGGCACGAAGAATAAATATAAAAAATAAAACCCTGCATGTGAAGTGGGGAAAATAATGACGAAAAAGAGCAAATACACTAGAAATGACAAAGTTCCAAGAGACTTGAGACTACGTGGCAAAAGAAAAGCGCCAAACCAGACCAATAAAATTTGATGAAAAAACAGCAACAAGCATCAAAACACCAGCAATTATTCAATATCCAGCCTATCATCCCTATTATTCAATTTTCAACTAGTTGCACATTTTCCAGGTCAATTCTGAAAAAGGATCCCCACAAAAATCTCTGAGCAACCAAGGCCTTCATGCTATTTTTCATATCCCAAAACTGTAATACAAACAGTTAATTTCTCTACATTAGAAAGACAACAACAAAACAGCCAAGTTCATTGAAGAGACATAGAATTTTTCAACTCATTATAAAGATGAAATATATACAAAGTTAAGAGCATGGAGTACAGTACAAAAAACCTGTTTAATCATCAAACACAACAAATTGTAAAACACAACAGAAAACTGATCCTGGGAAGTGAACTGAAAGGGTGGCCGCTGTTATCTGTATCACATCAACTGGAGCATACAAATCCTTTCCATGTTAGAAACATATTTTTTATAATTTTCCTATCAATCAGAACCGTCTTTGAAATGATCCAGCGCATCCTGTTTCCCATTGGCATAGAATTCAACTATTGCCTTCATCCTTGCAAACTTATCAGGATGGTAATTAACATGTACAATCACTGGCTTCAGCTTCTTAAGTTTAGCATCTTTTCTAACAGTCTTAAAGAGAACCTTGCTGTTCATGAAAAGGTACATATCCATCGTCCTTTTTGCAGCATGAACTCCATCATAATCGGGATGTGAAGGGAAAAAGAGCTCCTCATTAAAAACTGCCTGATCCCACGATTTTGGATCAGAGAGCCGCTTTGCAACGCGATCCAAGAGCTCAATTGAAGGAATAGTAGGCCTTATGTAGAAGAAACCAGAGTTATAAACCCATATTCTCATGGTATGAGCATACCGAGCCCAACCCATTGAGGGTTCATCAAAGACATCATTATATCCGTAAGCTGTCATATTATTATGACCATCAGACATAGACTCCACATCTGAATCCCTGTAAAGATAATCAAAGGGGTTCTGCAAGTACACAATATCAACATCCGAGAGAAGAACGCTGTAACCCAGTTGCAGAAATTCTCTCAAAATACGAAATTTCAACCCGGAAACAGCATGGTTACCACCACTTTCCCCGACTGCATCAACACCTTGATCAGGATCTCTTCTATATACAGGAACATCATTGGATTTGCAGAACTCTTCAATGCTATCATCTAAGGCAACAACCAGATAATTAGGTATGCCAACCCTCTTGATGTTGGTGAACCACAGCTGCAACATCTCCTTCACATTAGAGTTGGCAAGAGCAACAACAAGTTCTTTATAAATAGCAACTTCCCCCAAGATCTTGGCCAATCTGGGGTTCACAGATTCATCAGGAATGACAGGTGGATTGGTTCTCAGGGCCTTGACAGTGCCAAAAGGCCCAGCCTTGTGGTTCTCACCGAGCACAACAAACTGTTCCTGTGCATGACCCTTTCCTTGCTCAGCCAAACGCAGCCTCTCCATAAGCGACTTTACCTCCTTCTTCAACTCGGAATTCTTCTCTTTCGCTGATAGAATATCTACTTTAAGCGCATTAACTTGTTCTGGCGATTCACATGCAGATGAAACCATCTAACAATCAAGAGTAACAATCAATGCAACCAATTATTCTATATCGCCTTGCATGCTTTTTGTACTATAATCATTCTACATATTAAACGTTTCTTTATATGTAATTATGTATTCTAGAGATATTAAATGCATCTATAATGTCAGTCTGTTCGGATAAATTTCTTTTAGAGGAGAAAAAAATAAAAAGGAAAATCGAAAAAAGCTTTTCCATAAGCTAAAACTAGCTTATTCACAAATTAAAAATAAAAATAAAAATTAGAGAAGCTGATAGAAAAGAACTTGTACTAGAGAGCTGTTACAAATTATTGTTCTACGCTAGAAGTGTTTATGGAAAAATAAGTATTGGTGAATTTATGTTTTTGTTTATGAGTAGGAATTAGATAGAAATAGAATAGCTGCAACAAAGTTGGAATCTAGGAAGTTATGCATACGATCCTAGAGTTGTACTCGTAAATTTATCTAATAGTGGAGCACATAAGATTAGTCCTAGAGTGAGTTGAGGAAAGGAATAAAGAGAAAGGTAAAGATTTTGACCTTAGAATTAGGGTTGCGAATGTGAGGAGGAGTGGGAGCGGAGGTGAAGAACCCATTGGGAGAGAAGAAGGCAAAGACGCAGCCGATGAGAACGCCGAGGACGACGGCGCCGACGATTCGAGATCCAACGGCTGATTGGCCCTTCTCTCTCGTCAGAAGTGCGTCTCTACGACCTGCCATGCTCCCTAGTACCACTAGATTCAGATTTCAACTCACACTCTCAATCTCAATTCTCAACTACTTCCCCATTGCTACAATCTAATTCTAATGGCATCAGATCCAACAAAAACAATTCCAACGGTTCTGTTGTTAACTAACGTATATATAACTAGGTATAATTCTCATGCATTGTCCATCAAAATATAAGAATCATTATTAATATTTTTTAAAAGTTATTAAACTTAATATAATAGTCACTATAATTAGATCACAATGAATATCCTTTTTTTTTACTCATTCTAATTGTTTTTAATATATGTAGCACAAATATCAAATTAAGAATATACTTGAAAAAAAATATATTTATTCATATAATTATTAGTGTGATATACGTTTCCAAGACTTCTTACATTAGAATTTTTTTTTTCCAAGTCCCTATATTTATATACTTATTTTCTTTTCTTTATCTTCCTACCAATATATCATGTGAGAGTTAATATCAATAAGTGATATAATTTTTTTAAAATATGGGATCGTCTTGAAAATAGATAAAGTAATAAAAGAGAATTTTATTCTAATTACGACCCATTAAAAGGATCAAAATTATCAACAACAACAAAAAAAAAAGCAATGTGATTAACTGTGACCTGCTGGTAGAATTAATATTATAAAGTTCTTATCCAAGAATAAAGGAAAATGTTTTTACAATGAATAACTCACAATTTAATTAGTATTCAAATTTGTTTTAAATACTTACAAGAGGTTCTTATTTATAAACTAAGAAATGCAATCTCTTAGTTACAAGTATAACTTCCCACTGTGCCTCCACCGGAAAATAAAGTTCCACTAACATTTATTTTTCATTAGAAAACCTAAAAACACTCAAAACTAACCTAGCCAACATAAAAAGCTAGCTGAACTTATTTAATAAAAATAAAATGTGAAAATTATATTAAAAATAAGAAAATGCTAACTTTTAAGTTTAAAAACTAAGTAAACCACCTAAATAAAGTTCAACTCACTATAACATCTTTAGTATTTGATGTTGGGCTTGAAGTAAATGTTAGTCACTAAGAAGGGGGTTGAACTGTAGATTTCTTAAAATTTAATTCTTTGGGAAATTCTAATACTCAATAGTTGGTGCTTTTGAGGTTTTTAAAAAACTTAGTTAGCTTTCGAATGATTTCTTATAAAATAGTCCTTTAGAAACTTATGTTTTTGATGGTATAAAAAAAATTTCTTTGCAAATTCCTTTAACAAATTATATCCACAACAGATAAATATGTACCAAGGCTATAAGCAATGATAAGCAATTCAAGTAAGTAAGGGATATAAGATAAGAGATATTGCAAACATAGATTTATCCTAGTTCATCCAACCTAGGGTTACGACCAATCCTCATACACATTGTGAGATTTTTCCACTATGATCAATAGCAACTACTCTGATTACAATCACTAGCCACTTGTTGGATTTTCCCTATACAAACCAGCCACCTACCAATTGTATAGTACCCTTAGCTATCTGCTAAGTTCTTCCCTCAACAACTTGTTGAGAACCTTACCCTAGTCTCCTGCTAAGAGTATCCTCAACTAATTAGTTGAAAACTCTTCTCCACCTTCTTGACCCTCTGAACACTAGATTGGTAGGAAAGGCTAATACAGATTCAAGTTTTGAATCCTAGCAACTACTAAGATTTCAGTACACTCTCTTTGGTTAGGAGCTTTCACTAAGGAAGTATTCTCACTTCTTTTCCTAATACATGTATGTTTACAAATGTAGAAGATGAGATTTCTAAAAAAAATAGAGTATGAAGCAAGTATTACAACTATAAAAACTTGTACTTTGATGACTTTCTTTTATCTTGTTTGCTTCAAACAATTACATTGGTCTTCCTTTTATAGGTTCAAAAATAGATCTGTTGGAGTTAGCTTAAATTTTAAGCAATGCTAACATCATTTTGTATTTTTTTATTCTAGTGTTGTCAACATATTCTCCAAAAGAAGTTTGCTTTTGAAGCTTTCTTTTGAGTGTATTTTTTATTAGCCTTCTAAATAGGGTCTTTAGTACCAATCTTCTGAGAAGTTGTGTTTGAATTGAGACTTACTGCTTAGGAGGCTTTTCCAAAACGACTAACTTTTAAGGTATCTTCCCTAAGAAAAGATTTCCAACTTGAATCTCCTTGAAACATCAAACTTGTTCACACATAGAATAGTTATGACCAAGGTGCTTCATATCAACTTCAAAGCATGGCTCTACTTCTAAGTGTTCTTATGAGTTGAACTACTTATAATATTTTTTAGAACATAACAAATTAAAACTGAAACACTTAAGCAAAATTGTTAATACTCTTTATGAACACTCTTTTATGATAAAACATGGAACTAAGGATTTGTCATTATTAAAACATCCATTTATGACAAGATTCAACAGGACTCATTGGGCCTTCAAATTCTTATTTTAACTCTTTTAGATCTTCTTTTAGTCATTAAGTCTTCCACCAATTGAAAATGATATTTGAAAATATCGGGCCTTGATAGATTCCTATCAACAAGGATTTGCAAACAAAAGTGGGACCTAATGTCATTGCAACAATTAGTGACTTGCTTAAGGTGCTTTCCAGAAATGAAATTGAAAAATATGAGCCAACCTTGGAAGGAAGAAGCAAACCTAGGATTTGTAGGGAGATAGGGCATTAGGGTTAGGGACAAATTAAGAAAAAGAGAAAAAATGAAAAAGAAAAGAAAAGAAAAAAACTCAATAATTTATTTTGAACTTAATATGTTTAACAGGAAAAATTGATCACCCATGATGGAAGATATCATTTAGTATCCTACCATAGCACTTGTCCATTTATATAAACTAAATTAATTAAGTGTAATAACCCAACAAATTAGTACACTTACTATAACACAATGACTAAATAACAAAAATATAAGGAATCTACTAACTTGAGATTATCATGAAAGCAATACATGGATATTTATGCAATATTATATATGTGTAGGAGTAAATAACTTAAAATATAAAGCTCCTTAGTGGATTACAACTCAATCATGTGCATATATAAATACAAATATCATAACTACAAAACATAAAATTCTAAGTTGTCGGTCAAGCAACAACTAGCTATATCATAATAGTCTTTACCAAAACCAAGTCATCACCAACATGACACAACTTCTCGCTTGTCCTCTAACCTAAACCTATCTGTTCCCATAATAATATGATCATCATAGTCCAACAACATGAAAAAAAAAGGATAAGTTTCTATGCAAAGAAAACAACATATAATATAGAAGTCAATTACTAACTATATAAACAACTTTATGACAATCAACACAACATCATCTTCATACTCAACTTAACAAACCCAAAACAACACAAGTAATCGTTCACTCAATTAACTTCTTTACCACTCAACACTTTAACCTAACAACTTGATAACATGTTATACAACTCATCAACATATCAACACAACAACTTAGCAACACAACATTTTATCAACACAATATCTTCACAGCACTACAACTTAACAACACAATAACACATTATACAACTTATCAACATATAGCATAAAAATTTAACAATGCAAAAACTTTACAACACTTATTAACACATCTTTATGCATCGTCACACATTTCAACTAAAAAATCTCTTACAATATAGGTGAGTAGTTTAAGTAGTTTAACCTTACCAAACCAAACTCTCCTATTGACTTTCCCAACTCAGCTACCATTATTGGAATCATCCAGTAAGGAACTATTAATATTGGTCCCACTCTTGGAACCAAGTCAAAAGAAAACTCCACTTTCAACTCATTTCTCTCTTTCCAAGGAAAAGAAGATTGCAAGATACTAAACCTCCTCTTTTGCCAGATCATCAACTTGACTAGTTGTAACCATCTTCACACACTCAAAAACAAGAAACGCATTAGTCTCCTTAATATACTCAATCTATGAGATTGCAATTTGGAAACCAACCAATCCACCTTTAAAATCTCATCTGGATCAAGCAACAACAATCATATCACATTGACTTGTAGTTGTGCCCATACACAATCACAAAACAACTCAAATATACTAAGAACATCACCACAATACAATTAGACATGGAAAACCACTAAATTCACAGGCATCACATCAACAGATAAGCTAAAGTGTAGTACACAACCGTTAGACTACAAAAAAGAAAACCCCAAAATAAAATCTAATTCTTTTTAACATTGGTGTGTGTGTGTGTATATATATATAAGCGACTATTCTGCTAAAAAATGAAATAGTCTAAATATTCATGGAAATTATTGCTCCCATTGGACCATTTGTATCTATATGCACTAGGATCTCGATTCACGGATCTCTCCGTCTGAGAAATCCAAAATAAGAGGATCGAACCATTTCTTATAACTCATTTTCAAATTTGATACATGTTGCTTGATCATGTATTTTATTATAGTTCTATGATTTAGAACATCATTTCCTATTTGATACCTTTGAATTCCATATTCAAAGTTGTAGTTGAATCGATTCTTTTTAATGAATCGATTCAATACACTTCTTATGTAACCGTGGGTGCTATATTGGATTTTAATTAGATTTCAGATCAATCTATATTGATTAACTACCTCCATTATGTTGTTGCTAGCAAATATCACTATTTTAGGTTTTGATCTTTCAAATTATTCCTACAAGAGGTTTGGACCCATTTTTTTATGATCCTTCAATAAAAAGATTCATTCTCTTCATAAAAAAAGGAGGTAGAACCAATAAAGAGTGATTTTTTGTCCCTGGGGTTGAATAACTCATTCAAGAAATGTTTTTGATCCAATTTAGGGGAATCAATAGAAAAAGAAAATCCCTTATGATACACCAGATTCAGCTCGATTATTAATAAAGTGAATAGATCTATCATTTCTTGAAATACCTCTTCTGATTTAAAATCGTGGTATAACGTGTATCATTATATACATACATACATATATATATACATACATATATATATATATGGGTGTGTATATATATATATATATATATATATATTATAAAATGATTTTATTAATCAATCTATGAGATTGCAATTTCGCAACCAACCAATCCACCTTTAAAATCTCATATGGATCAAACAACATCAATCAAATCACATTGACTTGTAGTTATGCCTATACACAATCACAAAACAACTTAAATATACTAAGAACATCACCATAATACAATTAGACATGAAAAACCACTAAATTCTCTGTCATGACATAAACATATAAACCCAAGTGTAGTACACAACTATTAGAGTACAAAAAAGAAAGTCCCAGAATAAAATTAATTCTTTTTAACAATGGTGTGTATACATACATGCATACATACATACATGCATACATACATGCATACATACATACATACATATAAATGACTATTCTAGTCAAAAATGAAATTCTCCATTCGAGAAATTCAAATAAGAGGATCGAACCACTTCTTCTAACTCTTTTTCAAATTTGATAAATGTTGGTTGATCGTGTATTTCATTATAGTTCTATGATTTAGAGCATCATTTCCTATTTGATACCTTTGAATTCCATATTCAAAGTTGCGATTGAATCGATTCAATAAATTTCTTATGTAACCGTGGCCCGTGGGTACTATATTGGATTTGAATTAGATTTTGGATCAATCTATATTGATTGAATGCCTCCATTATGTTATTGCTAGCAAATACCACTATTTTAAGTTTTAATCTTCCAAATTAATCTTACAAGAAATCTGGACCTATTTTTTTTATGATCCTTTGATAAAAAAACATTCATTCTTTTCATAATAAAAAGGAGATAGAACCAATAAAAAGTGATTTTTCGTCCTAGGAGTTGAATAACTCATTCAAGAAATGTTTTTGATCCAATATGGAGGATTCAATAGAAAAGGAAAATCCCTTATAATACACCAGATACAACTCGATTATTGATAGAGTGAATAGATCTACCATTTATATTTATATATATATTATAAAATAATTTTATTAATAAATAATATTTTCCATATTCTTATATTTATTATGATATTATTTTTAAAATATAAGTTATAATAAACATTCCTAATTTAATTTTTATACTCTTTTTTCATTCTGAAATTTAAATATATAGATTATTATATTAAAATGTCAACTCATCCCATATTTTCTAGGCCAAGTTTAAGTTCAAGTAAATGGTCTAGTAAAAAATTTAGATCTGATAAAGATAGGCTCATGATATATACACCTCCTTTTTTTTATAAGTACACCTCCTTTATACTTTTTTTAAAATTATAAAATATTGTAGTTTTTTTTTATAAATTTTATAATTTTATACCTTTAACTTTCAATTTGCTACTTTTTTCTTTTTTTCACACTTTTTTTCTTTTAATTTGCACATGCTACCAAAATAGGTGAAGTGAAAGAAAGGTAAAAGAGTGCATGTAAAAATTGAAAAAAGGAAAAAAGATGTATGAAATTTTTTTTACTAAATTAAATGTTGTGGATGTAAAATTAAAAATTAAAAATAATTAAGAATATTTTTAAATTTTAATTATATTTTTTAGAAAGGAGGTGTACTTATAAAAAAAAGGAGATGTATATATCATGAACCTATACCTTTATCCACCCTTCGTCATCCACTGTAAGTCGTCCACGATCGAACCAAATAATGCCAAAAAATTAATTTTATTTATTTTTGTTGTGCACAAGTAATATTAAATAATTAGGTTACAAAAAATACTTATAGATGTAAAATGTAATTTAACATATTAATTTTTACCTTGTATTGAATGTAGAGAACGATGGAAAATAAGTAAAAAATTAGTATTTTTTACATCTATAAGAAAGGAGAAACATTTTTAAAGTGAATTTCTTATATAATTTTGGAAACTTTCCCGAAATATTAACAGTGTATGTATTTGTTACAATAATTCCATAAAGAACTTCCCGCAATAATAATTTTAGTGTTACGAAAAGTACTTTCTAGAATTATTTCGACGAAAAGTTATTTCCAGAATAGTAATTTTAGTATTCCAGAAAGTACTTTATAGAATTATTCCGGCGGAAAGTTCTTTCCGGAATAGTAATTTTAGTATTCCGAAAAATACTTCTCATAATTATATACAAACACACTTCCGAAAAATATTTTTTAAAATAATTTTCTTTGTTCCAAATAATATTAAGGATAATTTAAGAATTTAATTTTTTTTTTAAAAAAAGGGGTGTATGTATAAGAAAATGGAGGTGTATATACCATTAGCCTAAAAATAAAAGTAAGCCCAACCACAAGAAAAAAAAAATTGATGTATTATATTAACATGACACGTGATAAAACTATATATCAGGGTTTTTTTTTTCTGACATAACACATGATATCATCGTGACAATAACACTATATTTAGAGATAATTCTGGAAAAAAGAGTTACTGGTATAAAAAATGAAAGACTAAATTACATGAAGGGAAATTATATTTAACCCTTTTATATTTTTTTCTGATTTAATTATAAATAATATTAAAACTTACATATAATGCCTACAAATCAAATCAATCTAATCACATACAATATGCTTTGAATCCTAATAATCGATTCAAGTTTGACTGAGATGAAGAGTATATAAAATTTTCAAGTAAAAACTAAGATAAGTCCATCTTAATTCATTCGAGGATCACTCCAAATCTTCTGACTTCTACGTCCAAGCTAATTGGCACTAAGAAGCACATGTAAAAATAAAAATAAGTGACAAAGACATCAAATTCAACAAAAATTTAACCCTAATTCGTGATAGGGAATCATGAGATAATAATCCATTATTTGTTATGATCACACAATGACAGCAAGAATTAACGACCACCGATCAAAAGTCCACAAACAAGGTACTTCACTCCTGAACCTCAAACAATATCTTTTTCCCTTTAAATCTAACTGGACAAACTATTCTCAGTGTAGTAACTACTCGATTGTCGAAACAAACCAAGCATAACATGGACGTTGGAAATTGTAAATTCAATAGAGCTATCATGTGACCTATAAAATGTTGACTTAAAATCACAACAAGTTACCATCGAGAAAAAAAGTGATTATATACAGAGGGGCACGACAAAATACAGTTAAGCATCTCCAGAGCCTGTAATATATGAAACTACAACTGTGGTATCATCAAGCTTGCCACCATAGTAACGAAAACCAGCATCTTGAGCAGCAGTTGAGAAAGGAGTCTGCCTATCTTTGTCCAGTGCCCGTTGACGAGCCAATGCAGCTATCTTCTGCGCTGTCACCTGAGGGCTTAAGCCGGCTCTCATGGCATGAACCACCACTGCCGTAATCTCGTTGTTGTACAAGTTATCAAACAGCCCATCCGTACCAGCAACTATGACATCCCCGGGTGCAACGGGAATGGTAAAAACCTGAGAGAAACAAGGCAAACCAACTAAGCATCCCACTAGTAGCAAAAACCCAGATGGAAAGAATAGAACCAAACTTGACTATTAGTAATGATTGTCGATTGAATTCTTAATGTAGATACCATTAGATCATGAGGAAAAGAATACCACAGAGCATAAACAACATGCAAAATTAGGCACAAAACAAGCAGTAATCAGTATTATAGAACCAGAGAAAAATTGCAGAACTAAGACCTCAATACAAACCTGCACAGGTGTGCTTGTTTAGCCGTTAATGCATCCATTTCCACTTTCAAATAAACTAAAGGTGACTAAAGAGTTTTATTGAATTTACGTTCAACATCAATTTAACGTGTACATAAACTGCGAAGTGCAAACATTATATGCTTGACTCAACAACAATTAATTAAAAGAGAATGTAACATTGAAAGAGTAACGTTGAACAATCTAGTTTGTAACAATTAATTGAATAAAAATAGTACATTAAGAGAGTAAATTGAAAACAAAGGACTAAATTGAGGGCCATCCTAAAAATCAGTGTCTATAAACTTAATTAAACTATTATATATAGAGAGAGATCAAATTACTCCAAGAGTAACTTAAAAAAAGTTGCTCTCAGTCTCCACCTTACATTTCCTTTCAACCTAAGGGTTAAAGATAAGTTACTCGTTTGAACCATTATTTTTGGAGTAACTTTATCCCTCTCATATAGAGTAGATAAAAGATGCTTCATTGACCAACTTAACCAGATTCACCTAAGGACAAAGTCCAGGGTAGGAAAATACCTGACCAGAACTAGGTAAATCACCATTACTACCACATTCCAGCTGATACGTGAAATTGAAATCATGTTGCTGCACTGGGGACCGGAATACAGTACACCCATCCCGGACCACCATAAATCCACTGTCTCCCAAATTGATAGCATTAAGGCCCTGTGCAAGAAACACAAACAATGAATGTATGTTAACAAAAAAGAATGAAACAAAATAGAGATCTCTTTCGGGAAAACTAGTTACATGGTAAAATTGATTGTTTTCATCAGAATATTTGTAACCTAGAAACACCAAAATACCCTTGGGTAACAAATATATATAACAGCAGGAAAAAAAAACTCTTAAATTCCAGGATAAAGTTTAGAAATTATTAGGTAGGGTTTGACATGCAAATAGAACGGAATGAAATAAGGTGTCCTGTTTCTTCTCCTTGGTCCCATTCCACACCCAACCAAAATGTACCACTTTTATAAATGTATATCCCGTTCTATTCTCTTTCTAAAATTTACCAAACATATAACAGAATCAAATAGTATGTTCCAAGCTTCCACTCCATTTTAAGTTGGGCTAATTTTTACCATAAATTATTAAAGACACCATTTTGTTATGTAAACCGATACTTCTGCATCGTAATTCACTCTAGTCAGTTAACATTTTTACAAGAGAGCAAGATGTACGAAGTTCTAAGAGTACTGCCATGACAAATTATATTGTCACTAACTTTATATAAATTTTGCACAAATGGGTGCTGAAACAACGAAAATAAGCTGCAAGGGCTGAAAGTAGTCACCAGCAGACCATTGGATGACACAAATTATATACTCTAAACATCAAGAAAATAAAGAAAATAACTAAGGAAGGTAAATTCAGTACTAGTCTACCAGTATTCAGAGAAAATCAGTGCTTTATAGAGGTTAAGGTAACCTGTTCAGTAAGTGCAATGATGCATGCTGTAGAGGAACCCTTAGCTTTTGTACTTGAATGTGCTTTTTCCAGCACCCTAGCTGGATCAATTGAACCTTTGGGTTCTTCCTGAATAGCTTCCACTGATTTGGACATGAGCTCACGAGAGTAATATCCAGCATCAACACCAAGATCTGCCCAGCCACCAACCCCATCTGCCACCCCTACTGCTTGTTCCTCAGAACATATAAAATGAGCATCTTCTCCACCAGTTTCTTCTTTATCCGGATGAGGCAAGTAGCATGATCCTGATATTAACTTAAGGGTCTTTCGTGAAGGAGTTTTCCTGCAGTCAACATCTCCAACCATGTGATATCAGCCATTTAAGATTGCAAATTCAGAATATAATTTTATTCACCATATATAGCCTCCACATATTTTTGGTTACATATTACACTACAACAAAGCAAATTTTTTAGTTTTTCCCTGTAGGATGATAGTATTATGGTATCAAAATCCTAACCCGAGTTGTAGAATAGGGAAATAAACCCTCTCAATAACGAGTTTTGTCAGAACTAGTAGAGGTTTGTCTGAGTGTACAAGACTTAGAAGTGGACAAATAGTGGTTAACAATAGTAATTCAGGAAATACTGGAGTTCAATCCAGAGTTCAAAACAATAATCAAAGACCCAAAGTAGATGGAGTAGTCCAGAATGGTAACAAGAAAAAGGAAAACTATGAAGCAGATATTAACATAGTCTGATCATTATTTTCTTATTAAAACAATTAAAAAGCAGTTCCATTTTGAAAGGTCTGCATACTCTAATACGAGAACACTTCAGTTCATATTCCCAAAATTGCACCAGTCAATAAAATAAATCTCCTATTTTGTGCTTCTAAAATATTACTAATAAAACAGCTTAACAAACCTTTCTTTGTAAAGATGGGATGCAACCATATATTTTAACCCAAAATAGCATTAGTCAAAATCCCCATGGTCAAAATATTTGCACTCTTCAAGCCTTTTAAAATTACTTCTGTCACAAATAGATGTCGATTGCAGCCATAACGACAAACAGTCGACTATAAGTGACACAATTATCATAATATCATTCTAATCAACAAGGCACAAAATATAAACAATTATCATATTAACCACAGATAATTGATATTGCTTCACATTCATGCTATGGTGAATACTGAAGGGAAATAACATACAGTTCAGATGAATCTGCAGAGCTTCTTAACTGTTCCTCACGGGCACAAGTGTCAAATGGCACATCATGAGCAGGCCCAGCAGAGTAACACGAGGTTGACAAACTATGGAAATCTCCAGACCCGGACTGCATGCAAGGCTGAGAATTGCACCAAGTCTTGGCAGCATTATAAATAAAATATCCACAAATCACACCACCGTCTGGCTGCTGATGGTTTCTCAAACTCATGATCACTTTTCCACCATTCCTCAAACCCGTGTTTAAACATATAGTACTGCTATTCCTGGCCGCCGGCGCACGGCGGTCACACTTGAAAACCGGGTTATCTAAATGGGACTCACCAACCACTAATCTGGGCAAGTGAGCAGCCATTGTCCTAACCCGAAACTTGGCAGCAGTTGATAATTGATCAGGTCCAACAAGGGTACCACCAATGTGGTATCCACAGACCTGAATCGAAGGGACCGAAAACGTTCGGGACAGCGTGTCAACTACCGATAGTGTTCTTCTTTTGCCACCTAATTCAACACAATATGAGCTATGCAAAGAATGAAAAAACCTAGAAAACTTCCCTTGCGCTATGAGAACTTCAGCAGCCTCTTTCCCCACCACCGATCTCTTAATCGAAGCTCCGAGCCTTGAAAAGTAATTCGATGGCATTTTATTTCTCACCATTTACCACCGCTGCCAATCTCATAGCTCCCAACACATTAATGCCTGATTCACTATCAACACAGCACGCAAACAAACCAATCCCCTCAATATCTTCAATTATTCAGAGACCTGGGTTATCATTCCACAACACAACAAATCATTCATCTCAGAAAATCAGGCTCGTAAAAATTAAAATTAAAACAAAAAAGAGAATTTTGAAAATAATAAAAAGGGGGGGGGGGGGGG